AAAACTAATCCAAAAATATATTGTCCTATTTTTTTTTGTATTTATTTAGTTTTTTTTCATCACAGCGTATATACCGAAATGTAAAAATAAAAAATAAAAAATAAAAAATAAATAAGTAAAAGTAAAAATAGGACACAATATATTTTTGGATTAATTTGAACTTTAATTTCATTTTAATTAATTAACAACATGAGATGCGTGTGTGTATATATATATATATATATATATATGAGGGGCCGTACAAGCCACACACACATCAAAGGATTGATTGGCTCCTCCATAATATCATAGTATTATTTGAAGTACTTTTGAGGGCCATGTAAACACCATAACAATGAATATGGCACTCACTGTATATCATGAAAGTGCATGGTATTAGTATATGATAGTATCACTGTACCATGGTATTGCCTCACTTCAGTTTTGCAAGAGAAGGCAGTAAACATGTGGCAAGCCGATTCTAAAATACCATTATTTTCCAGCATTTAAAGTTGTCATATTCACTCAAAATGAGGGCGAAGTTCAAAAGCCCTATCGCCTCTTGCTGCTATCATTTAAATTTGGGTCAGTATGTTATCTGTCTGAGACGAAAAACAAAAATGAAATGATGAATAAAAAGACCTCTATCCTCAGACTAAAAACAATTCCAGCGCAATCGGATTAAAGTGCCCGTCGTCTTTGCATCCACAATAGTGGCGCTTCACAAGCACATTGAGGAGCAGGTGGAGGCAGCGTCCAAGCCAATTCATTTGCACAATGCAGAGTCTCACTTGCCTTGATGAGCCATTGTCATGCCAAAAGAGGACATAACTGGCAGAAATGGGCACCGTGATTCTTTAGCGCCTAAATCCCCAGCTGGCCTGCAACTCGCCAGTTGGGTGTGTTAAAAGGAGCAGATATCAGAGTGTGGGTCGCTGCCAGTCTTCTGGCCTTGAGTAATTAGCCCGTTCTTCACACCATCGCTGAGCTCACCAGAGGAAGCAGCAGTGGGTCTGGAAGAATGCATCATGCACATGCTAATACACACATACCCATGTACACTCTGCTCTACCTCATACCATTTCATATCATTTAAGAGCAGAATGTACACTATACAGATAATTATTTAGGCAATTATCCAAAAGTTATGACTGAGTGTGAATAGTGTACCTAAAAGCTACCTACTAGCTACTAAAAGCTACAGCTTGCTACTAGCTGTTTACTAGGTCTCTTGAAGCATCTTGGAGACGTTCCTCACAGTTCTTCTGGATTTAGTCTGTCTCAGTTTGTTCTGTTTCTTCATGTCATTCCAGACAGACTGGATGATGATCAGATCAGATCTCTGTGTGGAGCACTGGCTGCTGTCAGACAAAAATCTCACTGGATTATTACAATTAATGGCAAAATGAATGTTTGAAAATGTAAACGGTCATTTCCTACTGACTCACTACAGCAAAAGATAGAAATGACTGATAGAAATAACTTAAAACCGTTTTTTAGCTGGCGAAAATAGTGTTCTAATATTTTTAGCCACCACTGTATATATTTTTATGCTTATTGGCTACTGTAAATGGTTGCTGTTTTTGCATAGGAATGAGTCTGAATACTTTTAAAACTGAGATTTTACCTCATAATTTTCCAATTTCCAGCCTTTTGAGTATGGTATGCAACATTACCAACAATAATGTAGTACGTTTCCTCAAAAGTTGTAACAGTGTGAATAAGATGCATTATCATTAAAAGCTCATTGCTGCCCATTTAATTTTTCTTGTCCATTAGAAGTTTAAAACAAGGGTTTTCTAGCTTCATTTGTTTTGTAAAAGATCTTGTTTGCGCAAAAGGTAGTCTTCTGCTCATAATTAACAGCTTAATTCCATTGTGGTGTTTCACACTATAGCTCTTAGCAAATTCTGTCATTACACATAGCGTTTGTTTGGCGGTCTTGGGGGAGAGAATGAAAGCATATTTTCTGCCCCATTTACCGTTTAATGAGTGATTCTGTTAACTTTTCTCCATGCATGCTGTGATTTTGTAGATAGTTGATGGCAGACCAAGTAGAAGGCTAAAATGCATTTAGGAGACATTTTTATTCTAAGCAATCGGCTTAATAGCTTGAATTCCATAGGAATCGAGTCCATCATCAACAGGTGGTGTTGCTACTGCAATATTTAACCAGTTACATCTTGTTTTTAGATATTTGTTGTAATCATTAGGCTATTATAAGGTTACCATGGCAACGATGGTACACAATCTGTAAATAATGAGTGCACTAAACAAACACAAATGACAGTCTCCAACCAATACCTACTTTTGGGCCAGATCCAAAACCAGATTCTGCTATTCTGAGTTTAGATGGCTTTGTTTTAGATATTTATAGTCAGTGTTTATTTCAAATTACACAACAAACACCAATTAAGGCCTCAGACATGATTTGACTTTGCTCCTATGCTGTGTTCCCTTGTCTGTGTGGAAAATATTGGAAGCTTGTATCTGTTCATTATCTCGTTTCTCTCTCCACCAACCCTCCCTCTCTTTTGCTATGCTCCTCAATCACTAATTACAGCTCTTTCTTTGAAGAATGGAGTCTATTTATAGCTCACTTTAGCTTAAAAAGCTGCTCATGCTTTTCTTTCTTTATTTTTATGGTTCTGTGCCAGCACTTATATTTAAATTTATATCTGTTGTCTACCTTGCCAATCGTTTTCTTAAAAACAAAACAAAACAAAAAAACGACCAAATCTGGAGTCCACGAGTTCAGTACAATATATTTTATGCAATTTATATTTAGTTGGTAGTCACTGAAAGTGATGATGATTATTGTTATTATTATTATTATTATTATTATCAAATCACAACATTTTTGTTAAATCAAACAAGCACAGCAAACCTTTTTCTTTCTTTTTTACACATTTTTAATTGTGATGGCTATTTTTTATTTTTCAGCAGATCACAAATGAAGAAACTTTGCGTAATTTCAGAGCAGATTTGTAATGCCATGAAGGTGAGTAAATAAAGACAATTTTCATTTTTGAGTGTACTATCCCTTTAAACACACACACAAACAGCTATTGTTACACACACAGACTGTCCACAATCTTTAGGACTGAAAACACATTTACAGTCCCAATAGCTTTACATTTGACAGCTCGAATTTGACAGCCCCCCTCCCCATCCTATCGACAGACACTTTCCCCCCTTGAGACGCTTTTACCTAATGCTCAAACATGTCTCATATGCATCCTCACATTATCGGGGTTATGGAGGCGTGAGCCTGCCTGAACGCGGCCCTCCCATTTTCCGTTTTGTCGTGCCTAACCCAGCCTCCCCCCGCCGCGCTCCAGTATGAAGTAATGGGATGCTATTGAAGACGCTGCCTTTGATGTCTGGAAGCAGATGGGCAGATGGGGAGAGCTGCGTGCTGACAGGTATCTCTCTCGTCGTGTCTGAAGTCCAGAGGGAAAGAGACACACACTGAAGGAGACTGCGCTGATTGTTCTGGCAAGTGTTTTGACTCCTCACCTCACTTCACCTGAAATTAAACCCTGCCAACGAGACATTTAGACGCTGATGTTAGCCAAATTAGCCTCCTACAGATACTGGCGCTCATTTATGGCCTTTCTGCTGATTATAATTTCCCCCACTGTCTTCACTCACGTATGCCCATTTGTCACGGATTTGCTTCTTGTATGGTTTGGCATTCACGTCCAGGAGTTTCCTTGAGTCTTAAATAAAAAGTTTCTTCCACAACAAGCCCGCAAAACTGTCTGGAAATAAGCTAGATGTACGTACTTTACTCAGTAGGCTGCTTTCATGGTTGGGAAACCTCACTTGAACATGAATTCCCACATATAGAACTTTAACATGCTTTTCTGCATATATAAACTGATAAAAGCTAAGTCTCAAAGAGATGTGAAGAGTGTGTGCTGTGCTAGCAGTGTTAAACTATATACTTTTGAGTATGAAAGAAGCCATTATGGCAATATCAACGAAAATGGTCTATATTTCAAATAGCATATTAGCACACCTTATAATGTAAGTCCCATAATACATACACACACACACACAATAATACAAATAACTATTACAACAGATATTAGTGCTGTCAACTGATTTAAAAAACTAATTAATTTTTTTTTTTTTTCTGTAATTAATTCCTCCTAACATTAACATTTTATAATCATAAATAGATTTATTTAAATTATGTAGTTTTATTTTGGACGCGATTAATCACGATTAATCGTTTGACAGCACTAATAATATAATATAGCATTTTCGAACCAATTTTGGTTAGTCCACAAAAAAATAAAAATAATTAATTAAAATCGAAAAAAAATATTTAAAAAATCAAATAATTAATTGTAGTATAATTAAATCATATATAATATTTATTAATTATTATTTTAATCATTATTAATATATGTTAATTATTTTTTTAATTCCTCCTAACATTAACATTTTATAATCATAAATAGATTTATTTAAATTATGTAGTTCAAATAACTGTTGACAACAAAGACGGTATGTTTTTAACATTTGTTTTATGGCATCTTTTTACTAAGTGTACCTATTCTATTCTATTCTATTCTATTCTATTTATGTATAATTATATATATTTATTTATTTGTTTTTATTTTCAATCAATTTCTGGGGATAAAATGAGTAAATATAGCCATTCAACCTTACAGTAAGTTTTGTTTGCCATCATCAAGTTCAGTAATTAATTTTTTTGGCAGAAAT